GGGGGGGGGCCTTAACTGAATTTTATTTTGTCTTTATAAGTGAATACAAAAGTAAAACTTTGTTTTTGAGTTTATAATTACATGCACAATTTTCGGAAAGAAGTAGAGAGCAGAAGAGAAATATTTTCTTTAATAAAAAATGTCAAAAGTCAATTTCTATAGTACAATAAAATTTATTCTCTTAATAACAAAAAAAAAAAACAAAATTGAGAAACTGTTTGAATTAATTTAAATCTAATATAATTTGTTTTTTCAATATTTTAGTGGCATTGTTATCAGGTGCTCGAAATGTAAAAAATATTAATTTATCACAAAAAGTTTTTGATCGTATGAAAAATCTGTTTGCTGATTTAAAACATTCGATGATATCAGCTTCAATTCTTCTTGCTAATGTGTATGCATCATCAGGAGATATTGAACAAGCATCAAATATTAGAATTCAATTACATAAATCAGGTGCAAAGAAAAAAGTTGGTTTATCATTAACTGAAATTGATGGAATAATAATGGTCAATTAAAAACTAATCTTATTACAGAAATATAAGAAAATTATTTTCATTTTTTTTTTAGCAATTTCGTGCTCATGATCAATCTCATCCTCGTTCATCAGAAATTTATGCTGAAGGTGAACGAATATCAAAGGAACTAATTGAACATGGTCATGGTTATGATGCAAGTTGGATTGTACGACCAATGGAAAATGATGAAACAATTGAATCAATATTTTGTGGACATAGTGAAAGATTGGCTATTGCAGCTAATTTTATTGACAATCGAAAACCAAGTCGAATTCATATCACAAAAAATCTTCGCGTTTGTGGTGATTGCCGTAAGTTATTAATTAGTCTTTCTTCTTTTTTCTTCTTCATCTTATTAATTTGGTTTGCTTCTTTTTTTTTAGATCGAGCAACAAAATTAATTGCTGCTATTCGTCAATGCGAAATTATTGTTCAAGATGCTAATCGTATGCATCATTTTTCACCCAATGGACAATGCTCATGTCAAGATTATTTCTAGAACAAACATTACTAGTGTTTTGTTTTTTTTATCTATTTTTCTTTAAAATTAAGAAAAAACAATAAAAAGATATTGATATTTACATATCATTTTTTTTGCATAATAATCAATTTTGAGAAAAAACAAAAAAAATATTTCTGGTCTAATCTACTTTGAGATGAGACCGAGTGATTTGCATTAGAAGGTTTTTCTCTATAATGAAATAATCTTGGTTGAAATTTCTCTAAGAGAGATTGCAAAAATTTGTTGTTTGTAAAAGTCGTCCCGAACAATAATGATTGTTCATTTATATAAGATTTGATAAAATACAAATCAAACTATTAATTACTATAAAAGAAAATTTTACTTTAACGTGTGCAAAGAGGCTACTAGATCTATTTAATAACAGAAGTCGAAACTAATAGCATCAATATACTCTAAGAAGTTTTATGAAAAATATATCATATTTTCTAATAATCATATGAAATTCGATTCGATCTATTAAAATAATTATCGATCAAAAACAATAAATTATTTACGAGAGATTTATCTTCAATTAATTGATTTCAATCAAATATTTCTCATCTTCTTTTATATGAATTATCAATTATGGATCTGTTTTTTTTTATAATGAAAAAGAAAAAAAAAAGTTTTCAATCATTATATTTATCTTTCTCAATCTTTTTCTCATTTTATTTTGTTAATCTAATAGGTTATTTACAATACATGTGTTTATGTTGTCAAGAAAAAAAAACCCATGTTATGGAAACCAGAGAGAAATTGCACGTAGGTGAAGTTAGCACCAGATTCGACTAATTATTGTTCCGATTTGCCTGCTCACCTGTGTAAACTCTATGACCAGTTGTGTAAGATGTCAAATTTCATTCTCTATCGAATGGGAATATTTTTAATGAGGCTCAGTAGGCAAAAAGTGAGAGTTTTATACCAAATACTAAGTGATATACTAGTTTTCGAGAGTAAATATAGCTCTAATTCGCTCCTGCACTTGTGTTAACTATCTAACCAGTTGTATGATATGCAAAATTTAATGTTCAATCGATTAGTATTATCTTTGATATGGGTTAGCGGGCAAGAATTGGAGTTTTGACTCTCAATACTAAGCTCATAAACAGATATTGTATGTATATTTTGATTGTACTCACTGTTCGATCTATTTTAAGTATCAAACTAATATTTTCAGATGCAAAATTATATTATCTTTCCAATTTCATATTCGGGTTCACTGAGATAGTTTCGTTTTTAGTTGTTGGTAATTTTCATTTTCGTCATATCTTTCTTTTGGATTTATTATTTTTTGTCTTGGTCACTCTATATTTTGTGAAGGATTTGCTTTTCGTACAGTGAAGATAAATAACTGTTGAGCGATGTTATTTTAACAGAAATTACATAAAAATATAATACATTGAAACGGTGAATTCTCGGCAGGCATAAACGATTGTTAATCAATATACTTTGATTATGTAACCGTGGATGATTAGATCACGTTAATATTTGTTTTATTTAGATGAATCAGATAAAGGAGGGTGTGGGTGTGGGTGGGTGTGGGTGTGGGTGCGTGTGGGTGTGGGTGTGAGTATAGAATAAAGGACAAATGACGTCCACATACCCACATCCAAACCCTCAAACCAACACCCACACCCACACCCCACACCCACACCCACACACCCACACCCACCCACACCCTCAAATTGTTTTTATCAAAATGAATAATAATTACTATTTAGCTGTTCTTCAACAAGTCGATACCTCAAATATTTCAACTTCAATTGATTCAACTCGACGATGTCCTTCAATTAATGAACTTTTAAAATTCGAACAATTGAAATTACCGAGAATTCGACGAAGTTAAATACTATCATATTCTATGTCAAACTTTGCCCAGTTTGCAATGTTTCTTTGATGAATCTTACATGTGTTTGTGTACAACGAAACATTATTCTAACTGTTTCCTATTCAATCATCAATTGAATTTCTTGTGTCATCAACATATTCATTGTCAGAATGGTGGACAATGTTTGCAAGATCATCGAATGTGTCCTCTCACTACAATATGTGTTTGTACCGATTGTTTCTATGGTGATCGATGTCAATTTTATGCTAAAGGTATCGGATTAACACTTGACGATATATTACATTATGCAATTAAACCTAATATTAATTTGAATAATCAATCACGATTTATCAAAGTGAGCCCAGTGGTTACAATGATTATATTCGTCGTAGGTTTGATTGATAGTATTCTCTCTCTTTTGGCATTTAAAAGTCGAGACACACGTAAAGTAGGCTGTGGACTATATCTTTTCGCATCATCGATAACTTCTGCTCTTACTGTAACAATGTTAGTAATTAAATTTTGGTTTGTTGTGCTCACTCAAATGAATTCATCCATTCATCGTTCTACTCTTCGCATAGGATGTTTAGTAATGGAAGCTATTGTGAAACTTTTCTTGCACATGGATAATTGGTTGAATGCTTGTGTGGCTATAGAACGAGCAGTACATGTTTTTAAGGGAGTTCAATTTAATAAGTCGAAAAGTAAATGTGTTGCTCGACAGATAATTATTCTCTTACCGTTTCTTATCATAGGTTCGAATATTTACGAGTCTCTTTTTCGTGATTTATTTAATGATTATGAAAAACAACGTGTTCGGTGTGTAACTCTTTATTTTCGATCTCTTTACAATTACAATACAATCATCTTATTCTTTCATTTCTTGACACCATTTTGTATCAATCTCTTCTCAGCTCTTTTCGTCATTTTAACTATTGCTCGTCGACGAGCAGGAATTCGAACTTACAATGACAATGACAATGACCAACATCTTCGTGAACAATTCTATCAACATAAACAGCTAATTATCAGTCCAATAGTTTTGGTTCTTCTATCATTACCTCTTTTTATAATTGCATTATTATCCGGATGTGTGAAAACATCTCGCGATTCATAGTTGTATCTTTTCAGTTATTTTACTTCGTTCATTCCATCAGCTATCGTTTTTATCCTATTTGTTCTACCATCGGAATTGTACAAAAAAACAGTTTAAAGAAACGATTAACGACATGGCCAAGTGTTGCAGAATTTCATTTTTTCGAATTTCATGATTTATATTTTCATTATGGTAAAAGCAAATGTAAAAAAACCTTCAGTTTTTAATGATTCAAATAAACGATCATTTCATCGATTTATTGATGAAAATAATATTATTTCAGTTACTATTGAAGATTTTAATAAAAATTATATTTATTCATTTGATAATAGTGAAGATTTACATTTAATTATACGAGTCGAATTAGTAGTAAAGATCCGGTAGTTATTTATTTTGGTGATCATTAAATCAGATATAAATGCATTAAAACGTCATACTAATTTGTTGAAGAATTAGAATTTGATTCATCTCCGATAATTATTCATACAACTGCTCATCATTTATCGATGCGATTCTCAACAAATGATCAATCTTATACTAAAGAAACTCGATCAAAATATTTTTCTAGTTGTTTTTACTTCATCATCCGATCCAATTATTTTCGATGATGATAATACAAATGAAACAAAATTTGAACAAACTGAATTTGATTTTGATTATCTTCATTTAATATTTGCGGTAATCGATTTTCTATAATCAACATTTTAAGAAATGGAAATGCTTTAGCAATTCGGATAAAAAATTCATATTCAAAAGGACGTTCATAATATAGTATAACTCTGTGAACAAATTTGAATAATCCGCACCTGGAAAACTATTTGTAAGATTGTGATAATATATCATTCTAGATGGATACGAATATATATGACATTGACCAATCGTTTACTTTGGAAAATAATCCATATAAGCAATAATTTGATAATCTTTAAGATCTTCAAATGTACGTTGAATGTCTTCATTTGATGGTAAAGAAATCGAATAATCAATCAATATATTTGAATGGATATTAAACATGAACTTTATTAACTTTGATATATGATAAATAATATCATTCTTCAAATTATTTCCATCAATAAATGTTTTACCATAGCTACAACGACAGATCGAGGTATACAAGAAAAGTTCTTCTAGATTCGATATTCGATGTAGGAGAGCCACAAGCGATTCTTCGTAAAAGCCTATGCCTATATCACAAGTTAATGAAAAACGTTTGTAAATTTATTAATTCTGTCTAGAAAAATAAAAGAATTTTAGTGATTCTTTCAAATAAAATAACCCACTGTGTTAGGAATTGTTGACAATGGAGGAGTAGAGATAAAAACATTAACATAGAATGTATGAAGTTGTTTGAAACGACCATTGAGAAGATAAATACAATCATTGAACGTTTCAGTGGCGGCGGAGCCATTGAGACAAGTGAGGCTTGAGCCTCACGTGGATTTTAGCTGTAGAGGCTCAGCCTCACTTGATTTCCGGTAATTAATCGAATGAAGACATGTCTGCGATTGACGATGACACAAACTCGTTTAAATAGTGTCTTTTTAACACATATATGCAAAGAAAAGACAGATTCTATTAACTTGAAAAGTCTTTGTTCGACGTTTGCATCAAAGAATGAACAGAGAAAACTATTTTTTGGTAGTTTCTAATCATTTTTGTTTAATCTTGATCGTTTTGATTTCTACCGAAGTTCAATAAAAAGAAGACTTATATTCTGCTTGATGCTTTGATAAAATTGGACGGCAGAAAAAAAATATTATGAGCCTCACCTAACTTGATGACGCTCCGCCGCCACTGGAACGTTTCAATATTGATATATAATTTCATCAAAGTTGAAGAAGAAAATGTTACATATTCCTTTGGATGATTAAATGACAATTTTTCAACGAAGTTAATGTAAATATCAGAATATGTGTAAAACTTTAAACAGACTAAAGCTGACTTCTTGAGGGTGACTGGTCTGTCCAGTTCGTATGAATAAAGATAATGATTTTTGGAATCATCGTACTGCTTCGGACGATTTCCTGTGCCTACACATTTTCTATGTTCGCTCATTTCAAATGTTTATTTCATCTTGAATATCAAAATTCTAACACACAAACAAGTACAAATCGAATCTTTCTTTTGTTCATCAGATTTTATTCGATTTCTTCACTTTCTTCGAATTCATCGATTTCCTCGGGTTCTTTGATTTGATCAAGAATAACTTTGGCTTCAGAACCACCATCGATCTTACTCTGATCGATTGAAATTAAGAGAAGTCGAGCAGTTTCATCAAGATCGTTACCATCAAACTTTTGAATGATGTTATAAGCATTTGCCCATCGGTTTAATCTGCATTTTGTGAGTAGCATATACTTGGCGACGTCAAGCTGACTTGCGGCCCGGAACAATTTGATTTCATTAGCTCCATTGAGACCTTCTTTAGTCATCGAAGTTAATACGAATAATTTCTTCTTTTTGTTCGTTGATTGAGCCATTCTTTGTTTCTTTCTGTCTTTCTTATTAATGATCACAAGATTGTGTGCAAACAAAAGAATAAAATAAATAATGAACGTATCGTATCGTATTGACTAAGATCTAAAATTTCGTTCGGTCAATAAGCGTTATCCGAATAGAGGGCGTACATAGACTATTCAATCAATTTCAAATCAGATTCTTTCTAAAAAATTCCAAGTGTATCCATATCGGTTCAGTCTCATTTTCAGATAGTTTGTTGTTGAGTTAATTAAGGAAAAATCATTTCTCTTTTATTTTTCGAGATCATAACATTTTTATTGAACGAGCACTTATTTCAACAGACAAAAGTCAAAGAACAACTACGAAAAAAAATCGATTTTGCTTCTCACTTCCATTTATTTTTGAAATCATACGGCTCTACCATTGGATCTACATTCATGAAGTATCCGATATACTATAAAGATGCTTAATAATATATTAAACACAACTAATGGTGAATGTACAATATTAATAAGAAATAATAATTCCAAATATATTAGAAATGATAATATCCTATCACTGAAAATAATAATAATAAAATAATACGAATGATGTTTTGACAAATAGATTGACCTTTTATAGAATTTTTAACAATCTTATAAGTAGCATTGATTTTCCAAATGTATAATTCATACATAACATCAAGAGAAATACATTCGAAAATAACATAAATGTACTTTTTCGTAATTCTAAACAAGGTGTTGTATAATCAAATGCAAATAGAACGGAATAAATGTCTTTTGGGCACAGATCACTAATTTTCGTGCCCAGAAAAATCTTTCGACTTATCAGGGTACGGTTCGTTCTTTGACATATGATGATTCATTGTCGTCCTATGTTTTACTGTAATAAAGTAAAAAGATTTCTTGATAACAAGGTTGGTAAACAGTTCACCAATCGTTCGAATCCATATAATACACACATAGTCACGTAGTCCAGAGCTATCTTTTCCATCTTCGTTAGCAGCTGAACTAACAATATCAAAATCGAAGGATGTTATTTTTGGAATTGATGATATCAAAAATGGAAAGACACCATTCAATCGTATTGGTATTCGGGTAGGTACAGCAAGTGAAGAATATTATGTAAGAGAAATCTTTGAAGGTAGTCGAAATTATTATCCATAAAAAACTTGATAAGAACAATATGATGGTTTATTAAATAATATAATCGATGTAGCTTTTCTTGATATGGGTGTTGCAGAATATGCAACTAATAATATATATTGTAATTTAACTTTGATTGGTGAAGGTTTTGACAAAGGTGCACTTGTTATTCTTACATCTAAACAATGGTAATATGGACAAGAATTAGATGTTAATATATCATCATTAAGAGAAATAGGTATTCTTGATAATTTGAAAGGAAAATGGTTTCAAGCAAAAAATTGCCATGATTCATCGGAAACACTTTTTGCAATTGGAATTGAATCATTGAGCGGATTATTTATGACCTTTGCAATAGTTTGTGTTCTATCATTATTATTATTTGCATGGACAAACCGACGTATTATAAAAAATGATCTAGCTAGATTAGTAGATCGAATAAATTTCTGGATCAAACCAAGATTTTTGCATGAATAACCTCAAGCAAAACTTCTAAACTATCATAGAATGCTGAAGTGCCGTTGTTCTTTTTCTCGCAGTTTTAAGTGGAAACCACTATTAAATAACCGACGATGAGAGTGACAAATGAGCGAATATATATAGGACGATAGGAAAAATTCATAACAAGTGAGAATATATGTTAGATAGGCGCGCGCATAAGAAATTGAGAAAAACCAAACGACATAGGATGAAAAAGATAATAGGAAAAGATTAGTATATGACACATTAGAATATATTGAATAAAACTTGAACAGCATTTATATTGTATTACAGACTAGCAGTTTACCATTCGCTGAGGGTTTTATTTTGCACGTTCAGCATAATATAAGTGAAACTTGATTATAATGGGTTAATTCACGAGATCGTTCGAATCCGAAGAGTGAACTCTTTTTGTTGAGTGTTAGACCATCGATTCTCAAGTTTCTAATCGAAGATATTCGAGAGATCAGTCAATGTCAGCCAATGTAGATGATACAACTGGTCGAAAGACTTTTAAAAGCTGCAAGAAAGTCTTTCACATTAAAATTTCCGTCATCCAAACCATTCTTCAGAAATACCGAAGCATGAAGACCTTTCAACGAACTAGATCTAGTAGTTGAATGACGCATAACAAATGTCGATAACATAATTTCATGACAGCATTCTTCACATCAAAATGAATCAGCAAGTCACAAACTGGAATTGTTCTATATGCTTAAAGCTGATGAACGAACTTGTGGATCGAATATTTTTCACAAGTACATGAGAGCTGATCATCTAAATTCTGTCGACGAAAAATAAAATCGCTTAGTGGACGTGAAAAATGTGCTCCAAAAACATCATCACCATCGAACATATCTAGGGAGAAATTCAAAGAAATGTCGTGGATATCAAATGCAGTCCTGCCCTCAGCTCCATTGTAGTTTCGCTAATTGAATTTCAACTTGATTCTTTATGATCTATAGAGTGGATGATCTTGACTGAGTGTTGGATCATCATTTTTTTTAAAATTATGCTGAATTTTATTCGTGACTAGACATCGGCGTGACCGCCGTGACTGCCGTGAGTCACAGTCACGATCGTGACCATTTTTCGAAAAGAAGTCATGACCGTGACGTGTCCGTAACCAAAACCTGGTCATGACCAGTCACGATAAATTTTCAATGTAAATATAAAGCAGTTATTTTCAAACTTTACTAGAGAATTAAATATTATATTTAGTATTCTTGCAATATATATCAATATCCTTTTCTAATTATGCTAACTCAAAACGAAGGAATAGAACCAATACAATCGCGATACCAGAAAAAATATTCTCAGTATTAATATATTTTAAACAGCTGGCATAGAAAGACTTTAGAAAAAAATGTATCATTAAAAAATATTATGACCTCCTTGAACAAGAATTGTCATTTTCAT